GTAGTGATCTAGGCTGGAAAATCTTCAGCTACTTCATCCATAACCTTCTGTCCATCGTAAGGTCAAAATTGGGATTCACCAATCAAGAGCAGTTGCCGTACCGGGCTGTGATGCTTTCTGTAGTGCATCTGTAAAGATTGGTAAGAGTCTTTATGGTCATGCTGAATTTCCTTAACCTCCTAAGGAAGTAGAGGCATTGTTGTGCTTTCTTAACCATCGTGTCGTCATGGGTAGACAGATTGTTAGTGATCATCACTACCAGGAATTTGATGCTCTCAACTATCTCTACCTCAACACCACTAATGTAGACAGGGGCATGCTCTCCACTCTGTTTCCTGAAGTCCATGACCAGTTCCTTTGTTTTTCTGATGTTGATGGGGAGATTGTTACACTATACTGCTAAGCACTCAATCTCTTTTCCATACTCTGTCTCGCCGTTGTTTGACCTACAACGGTGGTGTTATCAGCAAAGTTATAAATGGAGTTGGGGTGGATTTTGGCTACACAGTCGTGAGCATATAAGGACTACGGTAGGGGGCTGAATATGCAGCCTTGCAGGGTGCCGGTGTTGAGTATTATCATGGTGGAGGTGGTGTTGCCTATTCTTACAGCAAGTAATCAGTTAAGCTAACACAATGTTCTGTTTCATTGCAAAGGGAATTGAATGCATGACTAGAAAGATTATTCTTCAGTTATATAAGGCATTGGTGAGACTGCATTTTGGGGCAGTGTGTACAGTTACTGGTCGCTGTGTTTACAGCAGGATGTTGATGCATTGGAAACTGTTCAGAGGAGGTTTACTGGATGTGATAGAATGAGTGGATTGCCTTACGAGAAAAGGCTAGACGGACTGGATCTGTATCCTCTGGTGTATAGAAGAGTCAAAGGTGACCTAATTGAAACACAAAAGATCCTAAGGGGTCTTGGGTGGATTAGGAAAGGATTTTTCCTCTTGTGGGAGAATCTAGAACTAGTGGACATAGATTAAAAATAAGCAGTCAGCCATTTAAGACCGTGATAAGGAAACTTTTTTTTCCTGAGGGTTGTGTTCATTTGGAATTCCCTAGTTCAAAAGGCAGTGGATGCAGAATATTTTTAAATGTTTTTAAGGCTGTGGCAAGTATCTTCTTGATTACCAAGGGGATGCTCAGGAATGTCGAGCTGAGCTTAAAATCAGATCAACCATGATCTTATTGCATGGTGGAGGTCCCCTCTTGTTCCTTGTTTGTATGTTCACGTTATTCCAATTCTATTCAAATGTCATCCTGCACCCCCTTTAGAATTGTAGTCAGTTTTTTTTTAAAATTTGTTTTCCCTGTTTTGCCAACTTTCCTGCATTAGATTTTGTCTGCTCATTCTACCAGCCTGTCTGCCCTATCACCATCTATCACCATCTTCCTTGTGTATATTTCAATATTTATGTTATGATCTTAGCTGATACTATTGGACAATTCTGATCCTAGAATGAAATCTGGCCTGAATAGATCATTCTGTTTTATTTAATATACTTGTCATTCACTGAAACATATGCACACACGGCTGTAGATTTTCTTGAATAATAAAACAGAAGTTTATCACACAAAAGAAAAAAATAAAATGATATATTTAAATATCAAAACATAGAGCACAGCTTGAATGATCTTAGAACTTGCCACAAAACAAAGTCATCTATTCCCCAACCTCATCACTTAAGTGAGTTATTCCAGAGAAGTTGCTCTTTTATATCAAATCTCTTGGTTCAAATTAACTGCTTCTCTCCATGTCTGCTCTATGAGCAGTGAAGTTTTTTGATGTGAATACTATCAAAATTGAAAGCTTAGACTTTCTCAATCATTTAATACTTTCTGATTTCTATCCAGTACTCCCAGTTTTGTCATTTCACAAGATAACCTCTAACTCCAAGGTAAGAGCTGAATTGTCCTGTACACCTTACTAGGAGAGAAACTAGACTTGGTTGTGATAATTAGGTCTCCTCCAAAACTGTCCCAAAAGCTTTGAAGGTTTCTAAGGGTCTTTCTAAGCTAAAGTAAATCTTTTGACTATTGTTAGCAAAAAATAAACTGATGCCTTTCAGTGTTTATGCTCCCTGCTGTAAATCCACAGTATCACCGAATTGGAGGCTGGATTAGGTTTTGGTTGATTGTTGGGATTGGGAGCATGGACAAGGTGAATAGAAAGCAGCTTAGTCTCCTTAGTTAAAGGGCCAGCAACAAGAGGGCATAATTTTAAAGTGAAAGGCACAATGTTTAGAGGGAATTTGAGGGAAAACTTTTCTACCCTGAGGATGGTAGGAATCTGGAATGCACTGCCTGGGAGTGTAATTGAAGCGGGAAGCTTCACAACCTTTAAAAATGGATGAGCACTTAAGTGTCATAACATTCAAGGCTATGGGCCTAGAGCAGATAAGTAGGACTAGTGTAGGTGGTGGTGTGTTTTTGGTGGTTCAGACTTGATGGGCTGAAAAGAGCCTTAACAGCACCGATTCTGAATAATCTTCCACTAACGCTGCTGGGGACTTGCACTCACCTACTTTGGCAAAAATTGAAGTAGGTTGCACTTCAGAAAGCATCTTCTGACCTTGGTTGCTTTTCTCTTAAATTATTATGAAACATACTCACCTCCCAGTTGCTAATAGTTTGAAATCAAATCTTTCGAAATGATAGTAATACATACATAAATCACACTTCTCATCAGTGTCGATTGCAAATTTTGGAATTGTGCCCTGAGCACCCAAATCAACGTATTAATATGGATTTTGAAATGGTGTGGTCCTAGTACCGATCCCTGGAGAGCTTCAGTTCTGACAGTTTTCTGTCACTCAGCCAGCTTTGTAAACATGCTGCCATTGTCCCTTCAACTTCCCTTCTCTGGGCTTCAACTTTTCTAACAAGCCTGCAATGTGGCATTTCATCTAATGCTATTCGTATGCCACATCAAAGACAATGCCCTCATCATCTTTCACTTTGTGAAAAGCTCAATCCAAATAGTTAAGCACGATTTATCTTTCCTAAATCAATGCTGGTTTTCCAGTGTACATATTTTGAAGTAACTGTTAATTTTGTCTTGTAATGTTGTTACTAAGCACCTTCCTGCCACTGAAGTTAAATTGTTTGCCCTGTAAGATGCTGGGTTTATTTTCATTCCCATTTGGAACAAGCGTGTAATATTTGCAGTTCTCTGATGCCAGTCCTGTATTGAAGGCAGACTGAAAGATTATCGCCTCGACATTTTCACCCTTACTTCCCTTGAAAGCTCTGTTGTATGTCTCAATTTTGTCCTTTATGTTTTGGCCTCTGGCAGCCTTCTGTGTTGTGAGACAATGGTATATGCTTTGATGGTCCCCTCACTGTTAAACAGTGTTTACTTGAGCTCCATGCTGGAATGGCAGTCTCCTTAACCTTAATCTCCATCAAGTGCAATTAACTGAGAAGTAGCAGGGTTCACATGGTCCACAAAGTTAATGCTGTTCTATCAAGTGATGCCAAACATCAACCATGAATCATACCAAATACTGGAGCAAACTTAACAGGCTGTATGGCTGTTAACGGGCTACTCTTGCTCTCCTTTATGTTTGACTTCAATGAATCATTCCGTCGCTATGATCATAGCCACAACCCTGATAGAATATCCCTGCATTCTTGGTTCCCATATATACAAAGTGTAGTATTGTAAATGGTGTATCAAAGTATGATCTGATTCACTTCTGCACCCTGTGTGGTAACACTAAGGAGTGCCTGTATGACTTTGCAGAATCTTCTCTTTTGGGTAAAGACAAATGCAAAGTGCATTTCTATCTGTCTCCATTCATGTCCTCAACCCGTAGTCTTCAACCCTCCTTTCACTACCTGTTTACTATGTATTTATGCTGTATGTTATAGATCTCAGCCAGTTTCTGGTTGGTTGATTTCTCAGAGCAAGGTGATCCTTGAGCAATCAACATGTCTGCCTTAAAATTTAAGAAAGGCTTGAGAATTAACTGTCAATCATCATTAACTGACAAATTCTCCATAGCAGCAACACCACTAATCAGAGACTATTTGACAACCGATCAGCACACTACTCTCATATGGTATAAATTTTCATTTTCCCCTTAAATTTATATTCTTGCAAATGGTCCTGATCAATGGAAGATGAAAAGCTCTGACAAACTTTCAATTTCAACAGTACTTTGATTATTTATATACCATTGACATTTATGTTCCTTTTTAGGTTAGCTGTCAGACCTTTTTCATACACTCACTTGTCTGCTGTTATTTCTTTCTCCACTTGCCTCCTGAATTTTATTCAGCCTGGTTCTCATTGTCAGGTTGATTACAAGTGTCAGACACTCTTTATTTGCTTCATCTTTGCATCTCACCCATCCAGGGAATTCTGCCTTGACTTGCCCTATTCTTCTTCCGAAACAGTGGAAAACCTAGTCATGAACTATCTCCTCGAAGGGAGCCCATTGATTAATTACAGTTTTACCTAAGATTCATTTGATTCTAATTTTACCTGGACCACATCCAGATTCATTGCATTGAAATTGACCTCCCCCTACCCAAACCCAACGACTCTGCACAATGGTCCTTGCTGACGCTTGATCTGCTTCGCCCACCTGATCCCCCAGTCCAAAATTCAGCAATACCTCTATTCTCATTAGACACAATGTATAAAATCCAGATAATTCTCCCGGGCATTCTTTAGAAACCCCTTGCCCCCTCTCTATCCTTTGCATTATTAGTATCTCAAGCAATGTTAGGATAATTCATGTTGCTCACTTTAACCATTTTATGTCACCAATGCAGAAGTTGCTAGAAAAACTCAGCAGGTCTGGCAGCATCTGTAAAGAAGAAATCAGAGTTCCAAGGAAGGGTCACTGGACCTGAAACGTTAACTCTGATCTTTTTCTTCACAGATGCTGCCAGACTGCTAAGCTTTTCCAGCAATTTCTGTTTTTGTTCCTGATTTACAGCATCTGCAGTTCTTTGGGTTTTTATGTCACCAATGTATTGTTTCAGGAACTGGAACTCCACGGAAACAACCACGTAAGACGCCATTGGTGCCACGTAGTTTGGAGCCCCCAGTTCTTGAGCTGTCACACAATGCAAAAGTTCAGCTGGAAGAGCTGATGATGGTGGGAGACCTTTTGGAAGTAACCCTAGATGAAACGCAGCACATTTGGAGAATACTGCAGGCAACACACCTTCCTGCTGAGGATAGATTTCTACATATATTGGAGGTACTTCCTAAATTCCATTTCCTGATTCCCTTGCTTTCCTTTCTAGCTCTCTTTCAGTTGAGGATGTGTAGACCTTTATCTTAGCGCTGTAGTAATAAATTTCTTCCTTGCCAAACTTCTGAAAACTGTAGCAGAAGAAAATAGTCCAAGTTGATTCGATTAATGGGGAACTTCATTGAGAGGCTTCCAACTATCAGGAATTCAAAACTATGTTTAAAGAAAAAGAAGAAATATCGTTAAACATTTTCCATCCACTTAGAGTTTGGAACAAGTTATGACAGAATGAACAACAAACTAATGTACTAACAGGGCAAAGCAACACATGTACAAGCTTATTACAGATTGGAAGATTTAGTAAAATAGTTACAGTGCAACTGGAGGCCATTCAGCTCATTGTGTCACGTTAACCCACAAATTGTTTCTATTCACATATGTACCCTTGAGTGCCACAATTGAACCTGTCTCCACCACATTTTCAGGCAGAATATTTCCGATCTTAACCAGTTGCTGCATGCAAAAGCTTTTCCTCATGTTGCCATTGCCTTTAATCTGTGCCCTGTGGTTCTCCAACTTTCTGTAAATTGGAATGATTTCTCCCTTTCCACTCTTTCCAGACCCCATTTGATTTGAATACCTGCTGTCTCCTCTCATCTTTCTGTTCTGCAAACAAACAATCCAAGTTTCTTTAATCTATAACTGAAGTTCCTCATCCCTGGAATACTTTCGAGCTGGAGATGAAATGGAAAGGCTGATAATAAAGAAGTCTTGTGATGCTGTGATATTTTTCTGCTCCTGACTTACTTTACATTCAGTTTCCCTATTTTTGAGTTTCATGATGCCAGAATTGCTTTTTCTAACTTCTTTTGATAACTTGTGTATTCAGGATGATGGCCCAGAGGAGAAATCCATCCGAATTAAAGTCAAAGATCCTTCTGATAAAAAGCGAAAGCGAAAACTAGAAAAGGCTGAGTTGTTCTTGGGGGATGGCAAGAAGTTAAAAGAACTGAGAAAATTTGACAAGCCCAAAAAGAAAAAGCTGAAATTGACCCCTGAAAAAATGAAAGAACAGAGCAAACTAGGGAAGAAAGTGGGAAAAGAAGAAAAGGAGAAAGAGAAGAAGAAAAAAGAGAAATCCAAAGAGTGTGTGGAGAAACTGTTGGAAAAGAAGAAAGAAAAGAAAGTGATTTTACCAGCTCGGGAGGATTGGTCTGCAGCAGAGGACTCTGAGGATGAAAATGCTGTTTGTGCTGCATTGAACTGTCAGCGACCCTGTGGAGAAGAGGTTGGTTTGTGGTTATCCTGTTGTAGCTTCAGGAGTGAATCATATCACAGTTTAATCTCCCTTAGCTTATTTGTTTGTATAAATTATGTCACACTTCCAGTAATGACAAAATTGTCAATATTTCTCTTATTACATGTTATCGGGATGTTACTCCTATTTGTTGCCTTTACAATTCAAAACAGGATGTTTGTTAGTCATGTGAATTTTATATATTTAAGATCTAGTGTAATACATACAAATATTTTCTGTATCTTAATCAACCTGTTCCAAGATGTTATTACAGGAGCTGGTGGGACATGAACCTGGGTCTCTTGACTCAGAGTTGGGGACCCTCTGGAATGTTGGATTTTCATTCTGATGAGATGGGGTCCAGGGGTTGTTGTAGGCAATCCTGGAAACAGTGACTGCTGGGTGAGGTGGTAGACTAGGCAAGAAGGCTTACCTTGGTGCACTGCCACTTTGTCAAAGATATGAAATAAAAACAAAAAAAAACAAACAGCTCTTGAACCTTCACACTCTCTGAACCTCAAAGGCCCTAAAGGACATTTCCCGTGCCTCATCCATGCCAAATTATGCCTCGCCACACACACCCTTTGCTTCTCAAACCCTCCATGCCAACTTTTGCCCCATTACCTTTTACTCTTACACCTACCATGCCAACTGAGCCAGTATGGTTTGTTAGGGAGCCTTACTGAAATGAAATAATTCTAAAATTTCTTAATATTAATAACTACACTATTTAAAAACTCATTAATTCAAAACTCACACATTATCTATAATTCATTATGAAAACAAGCATTAGAATTCATAGAAATTGCTAGAAAAGCTCAGCAGGTATGGCAGCATCTGTTGAGAAACAAGCCCAGACCTGGTAAGCTTTTCCAGGAATTTCTGCTTTTGTTTCTAATTTACAGCACCTGTGGTTCTTTTTGGTTTTTATTTAGAATTCATAGTTTCACTTCAAAGTGTCTATTATCACTTGCAGCCATGAGTGAAACTGTACATTAAGAGTCTTTTAGACAGGCACATGATTAGGTAGGGAATAGAGAGGTCCAGACTATATGTGCAGGCAAGTGGGATTAATTTAGAATGGTATCATGGTCAGCGCAGACATTGGCTAACAGGCCTGCTGCTGTGCTGTAATGTTCAATGTTTTGTAAGAACAGTTTTGTGATAATGAACAGTTATGAAGTCAATCTTGCAGCACTAATTCTGAATTAAAATCTGAAATGTTGATTTATGTCAACAGATAGAGAACTAAGCATTATTTAGCACTCCAGTCATTTTTAAAAACATATTTGAAGGGGAACAGTTCCAAATATCTTGGCAATACTCATTGATCGCTCAATTACCTGTATGAAAATACATCTACGTTCAACCATCTCAAAGGGCTCCTCCAAGATGATGATGCAGGGCTGTAGACAAAGGGGTATCTCAGCCTCTCTCCAAGAAATGCCAGCAACTTTAGACTCCTCTTTCAGAAGCCGGTGCAGACATGACAGGCTGAATAGCGTCCTTCTGAACTCTTAAGATTCTATAATTATCCTGTCAAGGTGTTTTAGACATCACACTTGTGAAAATCAGATCAGCCTGAGGTAGCTGCGCTCGAACAGATGCAACTTAGAATCTGCCTCATCCTGCAAAAATGGAAAGTGCTGTGTTCGAGGAGACGGGACTTCCACTTCTGGGCCTGCACTTTTGCAATAGCGAGAGAGGCTCGCCATATTTATGAATGATCAGACTATACTCATCCTCTGACAGTCATCTAATTCAAGCAGCTTCATTCTTCCACAGTCCCCAACCCAGTTCACATAAAAGACATCTCCGTCCCTCCCTGTTAAAGCTTGACCTCTCCCTCATTTTTTTCTGTTCCTCAAAGCTACCCACCCACTGTCACTGTCTCTTCCTCCTGTTGCTCTCAGCTTCCATCCCTGATCCAACTCGTAATTGCTCGACATCTAAGATGAAGGTGAAGCCCTTTTTTAAACAATGCACCAGATTCCCGGTGCCTTTGCTGAAACCTATTTTTCAACAGTTATAAAAGTTCTTTTTATCTATGAGATCATGTTAGATTTGCTATGAGTACTCTTAATTTTTAAACAGTTTCATTCTGTGTAATATGATCTTCAAACAAGCGCTTAATACTGTGATTGCTGGAAGTCTGAAATAAAAATAAAAAATGTGCAGCTGGAGTTCTAGTGAAGGGTCACAAACCTGTGACATAATTTTTTTCTATCTGTATGGATGCTGTCTGAGTGCCATCAGTATTCTCTGTTTGATTTGTAAATAGCCTACATTCCAATCATTCTCCTGCTTCCTATTGAAATTGCTGGTTAGTCCAATCTTTTCAGTTGTGAATAACACTTGCTGGGTTTGTGTGCTGCAGGTTGATTGGGTGCAGTGCGATGGAGGCTGTGATGAATGGTTCCACCAGGTCTGCGTGGGTGTCTCTTCTGAGATGGCAGAGAATGAGGATTACATTTGTACTGCATGCACCAGGCAAGGAGCCCCTGACACCCGAGCAGCTGGCCAGGGCCCGCCTGGAATCTACACTGCCACATCCTTCCTGGAGGACTCGAAGGATAGCAGCTAGTTTCTTCATAATGACTTTTATGGAAGTACTGTCAAGTTGTTGGCTTCAAACAGGACCCTGGACATAGCTGATGAGCACCACATTCTGCCATAAATGCCATGCACCCACAATGTTAAGGACCGATGTGAAGTATATGGTTAAAGATTAGCATTATAAGAAAGTGAAGGTAGAGTCAGTTCTAATCTCCATTGTCTGTGTAAGAGTGAGCCCCTCCTATTTGTTGCAGCAGGTGTAGTGGGACAGGAGGCAATACAACAAGGATAGTGGCAGGGGAGGGGCAACAGCAGGTACTGGAAACGCATGGCACACTGCTAGACGTGGAGCTTGGGAGTGGAAATGGAAAGGGAGCAAGGTGCTTCAGGAGAGAAACTAAGAGGAGGATACTTAAGTGGGGAGGCAGAAGCAAGTTTCCACAACAAAACTCCCTTGGGGAACATATAGCTGTTCAGCTGTTTCGCAAGAGGACAAGAACATCATTACTTCTAAAAGTTAAGTATTTAATCTTTCACATCTTTTTGAAAGTAATTTTAATGATTTGGAGCCTGTTTAGTCAGTTTTAAATTGGACTTTTTGTTTTTTTTTACATTAGGCATATTCTGATAAGATTTAAAGATGGCCTTTAGTTTAAAAATATGTGTGAGGATGGGCAAGGGTTGGCAGTTTTTTTTTAAACCAAGTGTTAATGTGTTTCCTGAACCGTCTTGGAGAAAACAAGTTGTAATCTGGCTGACTATATACTTTCAAATGCTGTACATGTACAAAGCGCTCTCATTGAGCAACAATACCTCAGAACAGAGTGCTTAGATGGAATTGCATTTAGCAGAATACATGAACCAATTATGCCTTGGGACCCAACTAAACAAACGGGAACACATTCTTCCTAGGTGCCCAGTAATTTTATGTATTTATGTAGGTTTTGCTGTAAGATACTAGGTTGTTTAGACTTTTTGGTAAAACATTTGTTTTATTTATCATTTTCTGTTTTTTTCATAAACTTGTTTGAGAGGTGGAATTTTTCATCTATGTATATGTATTAGGATGTAATGTCTTTTCCTGTGTCCGAGGAGAAAATTGCTTGTTGCAAGTTACAAACAATGCAGTCACTCTAACAAATAGTGCATTTCCTGTTTTGTTGTGACTTGTATTTACATGTGCCGTGAAACGGAGTGCACATCACATTTTGAACCATTCAGCCAGGCATATCCAGCGTACACACTGACACTGAGTCTCCTATTACTCTGTTGGCCTGGAATTTCATCTGTCATTACTTCCTCATTAATTCCTATCCCAGTTTTCTCCATTGTTCCATCGTATTAATAGTTGTGATAATGTACCTTGTCCTTCCAGGTGCTGCACATTTTCCCATTTTGCAATCCTTATTGAACATCAGCTCATTTGACCCCAGCCAGTAGCACTATAGCTTGTATGTTTAGCATGAGGAATATACAACATGGAATACAAAAACAAAAGTGCGGCAGATGCTTGAGGTCTGAAATAAAAAGCAGAAAATGTTGGAAATCCTAAGCAGGTTAGGTAGAAACTGTGGCAAGTGCACAGTGCTGGCATGACCACATTTAGGAATACGTAGTGCCAACACTACTGTGCCCAAGGAAATGCACAGATCTAAACACTATTAAACTCTATCATGTACAGTGCTGATTTCAGAGTTTGATCTGTGATAAAGCTTCAGTTCAGTCCTTTGGCTTAAACCCCACAGCCGCATCAACTGTCCTCCAATCCTCAGGCACCACTCCTGGGGCCAAGGAAAAATTGAATTGTTGGTTTGCATTTTTGGTTTTATGATTGTGCCAGTGCTTTCCATAGCTTTTGTGCAAACCTTTCATTTTCTGTTGCGAAGTTCATTTTCTGAATGTGTTATGCGTTCTGTTGATTTTTGTTGATACTGTTGGTTTTATGAATTTTCCAACCATTTCCAAACTTCTAATTTTCTTGTATAAAGTTGATTTTCTGAGGCAAGGACGCAAATATCAGGGGCGCTAGCAATAATTTTCAGTTATCAGTCAATCACCTGAAGCCTGAATAGGGCTTAAATTGGTGTGATTATGATTAAAGTTTAATCTGTGAGAGTCATCTCATCTTATCTCGGTTTGACTTAAAGAGTGGGACTGTTGAAAGCATGGGATCAATAAGCTTCGTATGAGCAGGTGGGAGAGAACCCATCTGGAGTGAAGCACAGCATGAGTGTTTGTTTGTTTTGGGGAAGTTCGAGCACTCTGGGAATTTGGTGCAGAGGGGAAGAGTCATAGAGCTGTCCAGCATGGAAACAGACCCTTTGGTCCAACTTGTCCATGCCAACCAGATATCCTAAATAAATCTAGTCCCATTGTCAGCATTTGGTCCAAATCCATCTAAACCCTTTCTAATCCTATACCCATACAGATGTCTTTTACATGGTATAATTGTACCAGCCTCCACCACTTCCTCTGGCAGCTCATTCCATAGACACACCACCCACTGCGTGAAAAGGTTGTCCCTTAGACCCCTTTTAAATCTTTCCCCTCTCACCTTAAACCCATGCCCTTTAGTTTTGGACTCCTCCCCATCTTGGGGAAAAGACCTCGTCTATTCACCCTATCTGTGCCATTCATTATTTTACAAACCTCTATAAGGTCACCCCTCAGCCTGTGATGCTCCAGGGAAAATAGTCCCAGCCTATTCAGCCTCTCCAAACCTTCCAACCCTGGCAACATCTTTGTAAATCTTTCCTGAACCCTTTCAAGTTTCACAACATCTTTCCTATAGAAGGGTGACCAGAATTGCATGCAGCGTTCCAAAAGTGGCCTAACCAATGTCCTGTACAACCACAACATGCATGACCTCTCAACCCCTATACTCAGTGCACTGACCAGAAAAGGCAAATGTCTTCTTCACTACCCTGTAAGAGGAAAAAGGTTTTAAGGCTTTAGAGCTTTTTACTTTTTGTTTGGTTCATAGTTTGTACAGCCATAGATATTTTCTAATTAACCTGTTCTGAGATGTTATTACATATCTCTGGAACAGATGGGGCTTGAACCCAGGCCTCCTATGTCAAAGTAGGGACTGTACTACTGAGCTATAAAAGTTTTTAAATTTGTAATGCTGCATTGTTGATCTTCAGCTGAGCTGAGAAGAGGGAGTCCTAATTTAAAAATCGCATCTTCAGTGGTTTGCTGATTGGAAAAACAAATCAAAACAGTGGCATCACAAGAAAGTGGTGTGTTGATTTGGTTCTTGATTTTTAAAAGTATTCAATTTTGAATAAGGGATTATCTGAGAAACAACAGGAATAAGTGAAAATCAGGGTTGGTATTATAAACTGATGTAAGTAATGTAGCATAAGGGAAGTTAATATTCTTGTGTATACATAATTAATTGTTTTCTTAGAAAGTGAATATCTAAGGGGCTTCAAGGAAGTCATGGCAGCAGAACTTGCCCCAGTGATATACTCCTCTTGTACTATATGGAAGCTTCCATTGTTCTTGGTGGCCAGATGTGCAGTAAGTGTGTCCAGCTGCAGCTACTGGAGAACCACACTTCGGAGCTGGAGCTGTGGATGAACTCCCTGTGGAGCATCTACGATATGGATGCATGTTCTGTGAGGCTATGCCGCAGGTGAAGACTGAATAGGCAGAAAGGGCATAGGTGACCACAGGCAGAGTAGAGAAAGGGTAGTAGTGTAAGAGTTTCCTGTGTCCATCCCCCTTTCTAACAGATACACCATTTTGGTGGGGGAGATGACTGTGCACTATGCTTGGGTCTGGTGCACAGGAGGGGAGAAGAGAGATTGGCAAGACTAGAGTGTAGAGGATTTAAATCTAAGGGGCACAGGCAAGCTTTCTGCGGCCACAAGAGACTTTAGGATGGTATGATACCTCCCAGTCAAGCATGTCACTGAACAGCTGCAGGCATTCTGAAGGGGGAGGGCAAACAGATGTGTACCACATGTTGATACCAGTGTCATTGGTCGGAAAAGGGATGATGGTCTGAAAGCAGAATGTAGGAAGTTATGAAATAGATTAAAGAACAGGACCCAAAGGGTGATGATCTCTGAATTAGTTCTATTGTCACATGTGAATGAATATGGAAATTAGGAAGTTAGTTCAGATGAATGCATGAGAAAATGAATATTTCTAGCAATCCGCTTCAAAATGCTGGGGTATTCTTAAAATCAGCAGCACATATTAGTAAAATGCATAACTCGCTGAATTAAGCGACTCAGACAAAGGCAGATAGGGTGGCAATTACTTGACTGGATGGATGGAGTAGAAAGGATGGTTTTAGATTTTTTGAGACATTGGGATCACTTCTGTGAGAGGTGCAAGCTGTTGGGAAGAGATGGGCTTCACATCAACAGAAATGGAACTAATTTCCTGGCTGGGAGAGTACATAATATTGTGGGTGGGTTGACTAATGGACCTAGTTTTGGGAGTACCATAGAGGGCAAAAGAGAGAAGATGGGGAATGGATTAAAGGAAGTGAGGGAAGGCTTGAGTTTTGACAGTAAACAAAGAAATGATCACCTTCTAATGGGCAAGAAAAAGATTTGTTTAAATTGTAAATGCACAGAGTATCGTGAACGAAATTGGGGAACTGGAAGCAAGAATTGCTCTCGGGGAATATGACTATAACAGAAACGTGGCTCAAATCAGAAGAGGACTGGAAACTCAACATCCTGGGTTATGAGGTTTTTAGAATAAACAGTTGGGTCAGTCTTGGTCAAAGATAGTATCATTACCCTTGAATGCGATACAGTTTCTGAATTAGAATCTGTCTTTGGTGAGAAACAGGAAGGCAGCAGTGACCTTGTTGGAAGTTTATTATTGACCTCCAAATAGTTGGGAGGAAGTAGAAGAGAACATTTGTAGCCAGATTATGGAAATCTGCAGGACAAATAGGGTTGTGATTGTTGGTGATTTCAGTTATCCTCAGGAGGACTGGGGAAAAGGTGGAGTTTGGTACATGGAAGGGCAGAAATTCCTGAAATGTATGCAGGAGAATTTCTGGAACAGTACAGTTCCAGCCCTACCAGGGAGGGAGCAGTGCTCAATCTGGTCCTAGGAAATTAGGCCAAATCTGTGTTTCTTCAGATGGCCTAGATCCTGTGGAGAAGCAAGAGTCTTGTTTTCCACCCCACTAGCAGATTCTGAGACCGTCCAGTAAATCCAAGTCTGTTTACACGCCATGGACAATGGGATGTGCTGTTCCTTATTTTGACCAGCCAGAATGGTATCAAAATTTTTCACGCAAAATTCTGACCGGGTAGGGAACTTTAGCCAGATGCATCAGGTATTTTGGTGACCAGAAGAGGGTTGTTTAGTGATCTTGATAATAACCTTGGTGGGCCAAATGGGAGGCTTTGACAGACCAGGCAGGGACATTTTCCATAGAAACATGGTAGACAGGAGCAGTCTGAGGCCATTTGAGCTCTCGAACCTGCTCTGTCTTACAATATTATCCTGACTGATATCATATCCCTTGATCCCTTTAGCCACAAGCGATACATCTGCCTTTTCCTTGAGAACAGATAATATTTTTGTGGGAGTGAATTCCACAGCTTTGCCACTTTATTGGTGAAGAAATTTCTTCTTATCTTACCTTTATTCCTTACCCTTAAACTATGACCTCTAGTTCTGGACTCCAGCACCATTGGGAAATCCTTCCTCCATCTAACACATCTGGTCCTGCATAGATAGGTACGTGGGGCTGGTATATTATTATAGCCGTTACAGAAACATGGCTAAGTGAGGGACAGGACTGGCAGTTTAATGTGCCAGGGCAGAGACGTTTTAGGTGGGACAGAGATGGAGGAAACAGGGGAGGAGGAGTTGCAGTTTAGATTAAGGGGAGTATTACAGCAGTAGTCAGAGATGAAATAACTGAGGGATCACCCAGTAAGCTTTGTGGGTAGAGCTAAGAAGGGGATGGTGACGTTATTGGGGTTGTACTATAGGGCCCCAAATAGTCAACAGGAATTAGAGGAACAAATATTCAGAGAGATTGTGGAGTCTTGCAAGAGTGATAGGGTTGTCATAGTGGGTGATTTTAGTTTTCCTAAAATAGACTGGGACTGCTATTAGTGTTAAGGGCTTAGATGGGATGGTATTTGCTAAATATGTTCAAGAAAGTTTCCTCTAGCAGTACGTAGAGGCCCCTACTCAGGAAGGGACAAAACTGAACCTACTGTTGGGAAATAGGGCAGAACAAGTGACTGAGGTGACAGTGGGGGAGCACTTTGGGACCAGTTCTATTAATTTTAAAATAGTTATGGAGACGGACAAAACTGGTCCACAGGTTCAAGTTCTAAATTGGGGCAAGGCAAATTTTGATGGAATTAGGAGCTTGCAGGGGTTGATTGGAGTAGTTTGTTTGCAGGCAAAGGGACCTCCGACAAGTGGGAGGCCTTTAAAGGTGTGACAGCTGGAGTTCAAGGTCTTTTTGTTCCTGTGAAGCTGAAGGGCAGGGTTGGCAGGAGTAGGGAACCCTGGATGACAAGAGACATTGTGGCTTTGACCAGAAAAAAGGAGGCATGTCTCAAGTACAGGCAGCTGGGATCAAAGGAATCCCTGGAGGTATATAGGGGATACAGGAGTATATTGAAGGAAATCAGGAGGGTGAAAGGGGAGATGGCTTTTGCTCAGAAAATTAGGGTGAATCTAAAGAAATTTGTTAAGTATGTTAAGGGAAAAAGAAGAACTAGAAAGAGAATAGGACCCCTCATGACCAAAGTGGACATATATGTGTGGAACCGCAGGAGATGGGCATGGTCCTCAATGAATATTTCTCCTCTGTGTTTACCATGAAGAAAGATATGAAGACTTGTGGAAGTTAGTGGTGATATCTTGGGGACAGTCCATATCATAGTAGAGGAGGTGTTGGATGTATTAGAATGCATGAAGGTGGATAAATCTCCTGGTCCTGACCAGATATATCCAAGAACCCTGCAAGAGGCTAGAGAAGAAATTGTGGAGGCCCTGGCTGATACGTTTGCATCATCATTCACCATGAGTGAGTTCCTGGAAGACTGGAGGGTAGTGGATGTTGTGTCCTTATTCAAGAAGGGCTGCAAAGAAAAACATGGGAATTATAGACCA